AAAAAAAAAAAAAAAAAAAAAAAAAAAGAGAGAGAGGTGAATTTTCTTGGTTTATATTTGATTTATATTAAATCCAAATTATCATTAAACATAGTAGCATATCCAGGGTTTACCATGTAGCAGACACTGTGCCATATCTTCACAATATTCCTAAGAGGTATCATTATTATTCACATTTTAAAGATAAGGAAATTGAGATTTCAATAGGGTAAGTAACTTGCTCAAATAATCAGTAGAACTACTTAGGTCTTCCTGCTTACAAAGTGTATAGAAAAATTAACTTTTGATCATTGTGTTATACTGCCTCCTGTTGGAAGGATGCTGTCTGGAAACAAATTGTCAAGCATGATAGCAGGACTGTGCCCTTTTCAAACATATCTCCAGACTCTTCTTCCTTTAATCCCAAGCCACTAATTGGTTATTACCTTTAATTTGAAGCTAGGTTATATACCCTATCTGAGCTGGTAATAATTAACTGTCGGTTTTTGGCAATATATCCAAAGACTTTATAGTAATATGGTCAATAAGATTGCCTTTCCATGACACAGTCTCATTTTTAAAGTTATTCTGGCTCTCACTAGAAGCTTAATGCTGTATGATGCCAAAATAATCGTTTTAGTGAGCTATATAGAATTTTGTTGTTGTGGAAACAGTGCTCTTGTGTGCAACCTAATATTTCTAATAAGGAACTGGGGTGTCTTTAAAAGTAAGAATTTTTCTTTGAATTTTTTGCTTCTCTTTTCTACAAATCAGTTCACAGCAGTGGAGTTAATTGCATATCATTCCATCCTTCGGGTAACTATCTCATCACAGCTTCTTCAGATGGTACCCTTAAGATTCTGGACCTCTTAGAAGGAAGGCTCATCTATACACTTCAAGGACATACGGTATTAATACTCAGATTCTTGCTTTTATATATACAAATATAAAATAATATATGCTTTACATTTTTATCCATTTTATTATACCCCTTTATTATTTTTCCAGACATAGCTATACATTGCTGCTATCATAAACATTTTTTACTTCCATAGCTGTTTTTATCCTCTGGAAGCAACTCTTAGAAGTATTATTTGTTGTAATTCTTATCAAAATCAATGTATATCTTTCAATGGCCATTAAATGAATCCTCTATTGATGTCTTTATCAGTATGTTGTATAGATTTACTGGGTAAATGGTGATGGGTAAGTAGATTCCTTACTTCAAATCTTTCCTTCATGTGGGGATTACCACTTAGCTCTGACACCCAGCCTCTCACACCTCCCCCTCATTCTGGTAATTTGATTGGTGGGTTTAGAAAAAATTGGGTAAGCACAGCCTAACATCTTCTACTCTCCTGCCTTTGGGAGTGAGCCTGTCTTCACTGTTTTTCTCTGGTATTCCTTGTGGGGAGACCTGCCCTTGCCTCGTTTTGCCCGTGACCCATTCTGGGCATCAGTTTTAGAAAGCCTATTTGTGTTACACATAAAAGCCACATTATCTTTTTACAAGCATTTATTAGACAGAAAGGTGATATTTCAGTTCTCATGTGCCTTACTTCTTTGTCTTATTTCTCAATTGGTTTAGAACCAAGTAGGTAAGAGGGGTGCCTTTTATTGAGCCTGTGCAAGGATACCCTCCCCAACATATAATGCATTATAGAAAAGTGTTTTAAATTTATTATTTATTTATTTTTGAGATGGAGTTTTACTCTGTCACCCAGGCTGGAGTGCAGTGGCATGATCTCAACTCACTGTAACCTCTACCTCCTGGGTTCAAGCGATTCTTCTGTTTCAACTTCCTGTACAGGTGCGTGCTACCACACCCAGCTAATTTTTTTTTTTTTTTTTTTTTTTAAGTAGAGACAGGGTTTCACCATGTTGGCCAGGCTTGTTTTGGACTCCTCACCTCATGTAATCAACCTGCCTCGGCCTCCCAAAGTGCTGAGATTACAGGTGTGAGCCGCTGTGCGCAACTTAAATTTTTTTGAGTATATAAACTATTCCTTTCTTCCAGAAAATATTCAAACTTCTCTGAATTTTTTAGAATGCATCCTTTTTTTTTTAAGGTACTTCCTTTAACAAGTATAAGCTGTTTATATCTAGAAATAGAATGAGCTTTGCAGTCTAGAAGAGAAGAAGTTCTTTTTCACCGGTCCTGCCTGGTTTCCTGCTTTGCATTATTATTTATTCTGCAGTGGTGTTAGGGTAAAGCGGAAATAAACACTAAGCAGCTTAAATATATGCATATCCATGGATTTAGGCTGAATAAACACAACAATAAAAGTGGTCAACGATTGAAATATCCATGAAAAATGTACAAAATAATAGGGAAAAAAAGATAAACACAGTATTTCAGGAGGAAAATACTACATGAAGATGGAATTTTAGTCTGGAAGTGAAGGTGTTTATCAAACTATTAATATTATAACCTGAATCTCTGGGATAGTCTACTTGGAAAGATACAAGATGTTTTTCCCTAAAACTTTTCTTATGTAGATTTAAAGACATATTAAAAACATACAGAATATATTAATATTTTTTTGAGACGGAGCCTCACTCTGTCACCCAGGCTGTAGTGCAATGGCGCAATCTCGGCTAACTGGAACCTCCGCCTCTCAGGTTCAAGCGATTTTCCCTCCTCAGCCTCCCGAGTAGCTGGGACTACAGGCATGCGCCATCACACCTGGCTAATTTTGTATTTTTAGTTGAAGTGGGGTTTCTCCATGTTGGTCAGGCTTGTCTCAAACTCCCAACCTCAGGTGAGCCACCCGCCTCAGCCTCCAAAAGTGCTGGGATTACAGGCGTAAGCCACCGTGCTCGGCCAGAATATATTATGTTTGAGATAAGAAATACTTATTCATACTGGACTGAAAAATTGACCTAGAGGCTATGCATCTTGTGACTGTACCAAGCGCAGTTTTGTCCAACTCCGCAGTAATTGCTCAATTTCAGGTTTTCGTTACCTTCCACCTAGATAATCACAGTAACTTCCTAACTGGCCTCCAACCAGGCATCTTACTCCAATTCATCCTTCTCACAATTGTGATACTGATTTTTATCAGTCGCAGCTCTCCTCTTATCTGTGTTCTGCTCTTTAAACTTTTAGTAGTTTATGGTTGCCTACATGAAGGGAGAACTCAGTGAAGCCCATTGGGCAGGAAATGGACTTTATGTAGATAGCCTCATTCCGATTACCTACATAGTTATTCAGTTTTTGCTAGTGTTTGGTTGAATACACAGTCCAAAGCCAGAAAATCTTAACAGAAATTCTTATTAACTTACACATGTACAAGCTTTTCTTGAAAGGAGGAAAAGGTTATCTTTTTTAATTAATTTTTAATACTTTTTAATATCATTTATTTGTGTTTTAATATGATTGGGTTGATTCTTTGATTATCTTTACTCTGTCAGCATTAGTTGCTAGCAACTGATGTGTTTTATCAGACTTACTGCATTAGTAGTATACATAACTTAGGATGAGAAATTGATATCCATAGTCCTCTTGGCCATGAAAAAGCATTACCAAGTACTTTTTTCTTTATCTCCCTTTATTTCTTAGGGGCCTGTCTTTACTGTTTCATTTTCAAAAGGTGGAGAGCTGTTCGCATCAGGAGGTGCAGACACACAGGTTTGTAAATCTTTCAGCTCCCTCTTTGATTTGGTTAAGGTAAAGGAATCCTTGACCTCAGCTAAGAGTTTTACAACCAGCTAGTTTGTATATGTTAAGGTGATTGTCAATGAGTTTATATTTTAATTAGTACCATAAAGTCTGCTACCTCGTAACTAAAACAGAACCAGTTCTAAGTTTTGGGAACTCAAATAGTTATTTTCTTTTTCTCACTTTACAATACATGTCCACTTTCAGAAAGTATATAGCACTTTTGCTTGAATCATTGCCTAATCTTAAGCTTCTTGAGGATGATAAATATAAATCATTTATATAGCAAATCTGCATTTATTTGAAATGACCAAAAGTCATTCATGGCCAGATTTATTGAATGAAGTGAATGATCAAGGCAAAAACATGGTTTTGGGCTTTGACCAAAAAGAATTTTAAGATAAAGAGACAATTTCTTAATATGAATTTTAAACAGATATGAAGGCAATTCAAAATGCTAAATCTTTCCCCCCACCACACCTTAAAAAAAGATATCGAAAAATAGTAACATAGTTAAAATATGTTTCTAGCCTTTCTGTCTACTTTGGGTGACAATTCTATATATTGTGGTTTTTGAAATTAGCTCTATTACTTGTACACGCAAGTCAATAACTGCCCACATCATTGACTTTTTTTATAGGTCTTATTATGGAGGACTAACTTTGATGAATTGCACTGTAAAGGTCTTAATAAAAGAAATCTCAAAAGATTGCATTTTGATTCACCACCTCATCTTCTTGATGTCTACCCAAGAACACCACATCCCCATGAGGAAAAAGTTGAGACTGTTGAAGTGAGTATTTTGTGCTTATTTGTCCTACATTTTGTGTACATTTTGAGGCTTTCGGTCAGGGAAAATTACTGAATTATATATAAAACCTAGTGCTGCCTTGAAACAGCAATAAACAGTCAGTTGTTTTTACTATCATGTGTAATAAAGTTTTATATTTGCTTCTTGAAGTCCCATAAAACTAAAAATTGGTGTTGATACTAATAGGAAATTAGAAATTAAATCTAAGTCCTTTGAACTAGCTTTATATTCTAGGTGTGTTTAGGGGGGTCATGTGATGGCTGTCATGAGAATAAGGCTGAAGGGCAAGAATTTTTATAATGGTTATTGAAATAAGTATCTTAAAACTCTTTTATAGCAAAACGAAAATCTTTTGGACAGGTAAAAAAAGAGATTTAGTGATTGAATCCAATAATTAAGACAATTTTATTGCCTGCATACATTTTGCATATGTAATTATCTATTTAGCTGTAGGTTTTTGTTGACAAATCCCCTTAGGTCAGTGTTATGGATTTAAGTGTTCTTTTGTTTTCAAAGAGAGATTTACCTTTGCTAGCTGCTTAGCTGATGTTAGCCTATTCTTATTTTGCATGATTCTTCTTTAGCCATTTCTCTTCTAAGAGCTGATATCAGAAATTACCTGTTCATCTGAATTTTTATCGTTGGCAGTCTCTTTGCTTTTAGAGTTAGATATTTTGAGTTCTTGAGATTTATTCCTGAGTGGCAACAGACAGTAGCCTTGTTCACTTTTCATGCTGTGATTCCATGTACCCTCACCCACATCACTTCTTTCATTTTGTTTTCCTTAGTCTTAGTCTTTTCTGTTATCTCAGGCACTTCTGCTAGTCTCCAGTTGTGAATCTAAGTATATGTTTTTTTTCTTTTTCTTTTTAACAATTATCTAGATTTTGTTTAATCCAGCCATATCTTGGGATTCCTGTCTTTGCTTTTCCTTGTTAGTGTTGACTTTCAGTTCTTGGCTATAATCTTTGTCTTTTCCAGCTTCTGACAATCTTTTCAGTTCTTCTAAATTATTAATTTTGTGTTTTGCCACTTCTTTGCACTACTTACTGTATTATCATTTTTCTTTTATTTCTTTAAGAGAAAAAAATATGATCTAATTTGGTTGTTACATTTTTTGCTTCTGTTTTTATATTTCTTATCCCCTGTGATAAAAATTCATATAAAATACATGTGAAATATATTTTAATTTAACTTGAGTATTTTTTTCTTGTACTATTCAAGTTGGTTTTATTGACTCTCAGTGTTTTTTATTTTGTCATTTTGTGGCTTGGCCAGGATTGTTTGAAAATACCCATTCAGCCACTTTCCAGAGTGTTGGAAGGCAGAACTGCAGGCTGAGCCTAAGACTTTTTTCTCCTTGAATTAGGTAATATTTCTATGACTCCACACTCACCTCAGCGCAGAGGCTCAAGCCATTTACTGTTTGATTTACTGTCGGCCCCAGTCCATTTCAGAGTGCTAGGCTTTCTTTAAAATGTCAAGGAGTTGCCTGAGTGGCTCTGCTCTTAACACGGTACAGCCAAAAAGCCATAAAACCAGCTGGATTGTTTTGTGTTGCCAGGTCAGGATGACCCAGGCCATGCAAAGCCACTCTCAAACAATTTTTCACATATACCCTTAAAAATTCTATTAAACACTGACTTTTCTTCATCATAGAATTAGAGTTCAGTTGCACTATACAAAATGCTGAGCCTTGTGACTGATTTTTTGTGTGTGTGATCTTAAGGTAGTCAGCCTCTGTGTACACAGTTTAAATTTTCTGTGAGCATGCATGGTTGCTTAAGTGTAAAACATGACTTGTTTTTGTAAAACACTTTGAGGCCTTGTGATATAAAATGCCAGAAGAGTGATAGGATTCTGCATATGAACAACCAATTGTTGTAATTGTTCCTTTTTTTCTTCCTTAAAAATCTCTTATAAAAAAGTCAAGTTTGCCGGGCGCGGTGGCTCAAGCCTGTAATCCCAGCACTTTGGGAGGCCGAGGCGGGTGGATCACGAGGTCAAGAGATCGAGACCATCCTGGTCAACATGGTGAAACCCCGTCTCTACTAAAAATACAAAAAATTAGCTGGGCATTGTGGTGCGTGCCTGTAATCCCAGCTACTCAGGAGGCTGAGGCAGGAGAATTGCCTGAACCCAGGAGGCGGAGGTTGCGGTGAGCCGAGATCACGCCATTGCACTCCAGCCTGGGTAACGAGTGAAACTCCGTCTCAAAAAAAAAAAAAAAAAAGTCAAGTTTATGAAATTTTCTAGACAGGGGACAACTTTAGTATTATGAATAAATAGTTGCTAAGTATCAAACTGTGTTTTAAAGTCTCCAAATTAATAACTATGGATCCCTCACAAAACCAAAGACAACTTAGTTCAAAACTTTCACCTAGAATGGAATCGTCAGAATATAAGTTGTGCTGTGTTCATTTATGATTAGTAAACTTTACTTTCGAAATACTAAATTTGGTAGATTAAATTTTTTTCAAAGCTTTAGGCAAATTTACATATGGTTACTTGGGAAATATTTTAAAACTAGAAAAACTTTTTTTTGAAGTCAGTATTAATGACTTAAGGAAAAGAAACAAATCTTATTAAAATATATAGAATAAATGGTATCTAAGTGAACAGATTGATTTTTCTAACTTTCTCTGTTTGCAGTAACCATGAGTGTTTTATTTCTGAGTTTGAAACAAGATAACATTTCTGTGATTTGTATTATGTTTTCTATGAGACTCATCTGAATTGCATAATCTCAATCTGCTGAGTAAAATAGTTTGGCCTTTTGCAAAAGCCACCCATTTGCTAGCCTTAAGTGCTTCACTTGTTTGAAGGTGGAGAATCCTGCAGAGTCTTAGATCTTGGGTACCAGCTGACTAAATATATAAATTACTAATTCCTACATGGGTAGAGGGGATGATAGCCAGATTGCTTTTAAAATAAATGAGAGAAGGAGGCCACATGAAAGAAGGCATGAAATATCAAATTCTCTCTGTGTGAAATAGCCCCCTCCTGTGTTCTTCCTACTTATCTAACTACAGATCCTTTGTAGTACTCCTGGCCTAGGCACTCCATCTTAATTAAAAACATGAGAACAGCACCTTTCTCTTTTTTTGGTGGGAAAGAAGCCCAGTTTTTATACATGGTATCTTGACCCTCCCCACATTGTGCTATAGCACATCACTAGTTCATGCTGACTTTATTTTCTTCAGACTATCAGGAGCTGAATTGCATTGTCCTGCCCCTAGACAAAACCAGACTTTCCTTCAGTGTGTGTGTCTGATACTTTTCTCCTGAGTAGACCCCTTCCTTCTTACATATTTTGATGGGAAGACAGTAGAGCTATTCTAAGGGATGGAGATAGATCTTAGTGACAGTAAAGCATCAAAATAGTTATTCTAGGAGAATTGCAGAATATTGTAAGAAGGGATTACAATTAGTTCAAAAGAATTTTTTCATAAAATAATGTTCTGATGGCTTTCAGTTTTTTATGGCCATTGGAGATTACCCTAACATATAAATTGCATAGGAAATTCTGTATGATATTTAGCAGGAAGGAAAATGTTCTTTACCTTAACCAAATATTTATGTAATAATATTTTGTCATAGTCTGACCATGATTCACTGTTGAAAAGTACAAGTGATCTATTTAAGACTTTAAGTCTGAGATTGGGTTTTTAATCTCAATTGTCTAATAAGGTTGAAAACATCACCAATTATGATTTTTTAAAATGACCACTTGTCTATCCGCTTTGTATTCTGCTTCTAACTATGGTATATGCTTATACTGTTTCAGGCCTCAGTAAATGTTCTTTAGAGATTGCATGAGGATAATTATATAACAATGTCCTTAAAAAAAAAAAAGAATGTTCTAAGTGTTTTATACAAATTAAGTTAATATTCCTAAAATCTCAGTGAAATAAGTACCACTATTATCCCATGAGAAATTGAGATGTATGTTAGTTAAATGTTTAAGTTAGTAAGTGGCAGCACTAGAATTTCCACCCAGGCACCTGGTTCCATTCTGTGTTTTTGACCACTTTGATGTAATGCTTCATTACATTTTATCTTGTTAACAGATATAAAAGTATCTGTGTGCTGGATGTTGTACTAGCTTTAGAATATGTAGCAATGAACAAGATGGGCATACTATTTGCCCTTCAGAAGCTTGTAATCTAGTCAAGTCTTATGGAATTTATTAGTAGAGCTTTTATGTTCATAGAATCCTCAATATCATGGACACAGAGAACCTCAGAGGGGGATGTGGAATGGTACCTTTGAGGTCATACAGGCTAACCTTTACCTCATTCGTTAGTCCCAGTTACACACCCTTGTTCAGCCATGGAGATCTTGGCCTCTCATAGGCAGCCCACTTCATTTCAAGGCAACCCTAATTATTAACATATCCTTCCCTTTAATAAATATTAGGAGCTACAAGATACTGTTAGTATTCCTGGAAGTTAGCTAGCAGAGAATTTAACTATATCATGCCCTCATCATATTTTCTTTATGGAAATGACTATAAATGTTTCTTAGTAAGAACTTCCGGCTCTATTTAACTTATATGGAAGCAACTTATGCCACAATGCAGTAAAATTCTGTTAATCACATCAGGACTTGTTTCCCAACTTGTAGGTCAAGGATTTTTTTATGACATGTGCTGACTCTGTGATTTAGATTTCTTTTTTTTTTTTCCCATTTATTTATTTTATTGCATTTTACGTTTGGGGGTACATGTGAAGAACATGCAAAATTGTTGCATAGGAACACACGTGGCAGTGTGATTTGCGCCTTCCTCCCCATCACCTACATCTGGCATTTCTCCCCTTGCTATCTCTCCCCAGCTTCCCACCCCCCACCGTCCCTCCCCTATTTCCCCCCAACTGACCCCAGTGTGTAGTGCTCCCCTCCCTGTGTCCATGTGTTCTCATTGTTCAACACCCGCCTATGAGTGAGACCATGCGGTGTTTGATCTTCTGCTCTTCTGTCAGTGATTTAGATTTCTTGAGCAATTTCAATTTCAGATGGTGCAACTAGATTGTATTTTCATAGGTAAATGATTTTCTATCTACACTAGGTGGCAGTAGATGAAAGTGAATAAAATGTTTACAAGCAGTCTCTCTGGACAGCGAGTCTTAAGATTAAAAGGAAAACAAGTCACTCACATTTCTGTTCTTTGCCTCAACTCTGGTCTTAGAGTCAGTGGAAGGAGGCTATGTTTGTTTTCTGCTTTATGGGACAGCCGGGAAGAAACAGCGGTTTTGGCTAGCTGAGCTGACCGTCCCTCATCCTCACCCTGCACAGCTATGTTCCTTCTTTACTGTAGCATGGCAGTTATACCTCCCTTTTTGGCTGGATAAGTATAAAATGCTTTTACATTTCTAAAACTACAGCCATACCCATCAAGCACAGTAAGTGCTTTAAAAATTACTCCACTCCTCTTAACACTGGACTGGCTCAGCCTTCATCACTACAGACCTGGATTAATGCTGTAGTGTCCTCACTGCCGTCCCTAATTTATTCATGATACTTTATGTGTCTCTGTCAGATTACTCTTTCTAAAGCACATTTTAGCTTCCAACTTTCTGTGCCTTCCCAAATTCCTTCACCCTTCACAATTTGACCCTTGACAACCTTCTTTCTACCCGTCTGAAAGTATGTCAGCATTCTTCCACTATGCCGTGAAGAATGCTCTTTTACTCATCTCCCTCTCTTTGTTTTTGTTTTCTAGATCTTTTATTAAAGAGCCACCATATGTCATGCTTCCTCCATAGGAAGCCTTTCTCACTATCTAAGCCAAGCTTGTCCAGCCCACGGGTTACATATTGGCTTTGAATGTGGCCCAACACAAATTCATAAACTGTCTTGAAACATTATGAGATATTGTTGCAATTTTTTCAGCTCATCAGCTATCATTAGTGTTAGTGTATTTTATGTGTGGCCCAAGATAATTCTTCTTCTTCCAATGTGGCCCAGGGAAACCAAAAGATCAGACACTCCTGATAAGCGCTCAGTCGATAGTTTCTTCTTTAAGGTTCTTTAGTACACTTACTGGTACCATTCATTTGATATAAAGCTCTGCTGTCTTTGTTGCTTTTTGTTTACTTCTTTGTATTTATAGTGTTTCAATATAATTTTTAATTTTTTTGTCTTATAAATATCCTCTCTCAAAGGTAGTCACCATTCTAGGTAATCATTCCCTTGCTTTTGTAACTTTATATATTTGAATCTATAATTATTCTTAATTTTGAATGAGTTTGAACTTTATATAAGTGGAATTATATTGAATATGCATTTCTGTAACTTGCTTTTTAACTTAACATTAAAGTTTTGAGATTTATACATATGAACTCTGAATTCATGCATTCATATATTGTTTTCACTGTTGTTACTGCATTCCTGTGAATTTGTCACTGTAGTAATTCTCACAGCCTGTTTTACTGTTGATAGACACTTAGAGTAATTCCAGTAGTTTTTTGGCCATTACAAACAATGCTGCCACAAACAGCATTGGCATCATTGAGCTTTCTAGTTTTTGCAGTTTAATAGGTATTAAGTGGTATTTTGCTTTAATTTATACTTTTCTTATTACTAATGTTCTGAATATATTTGTTTTCCATGTATACAGCACTCTGCTTTTGAGCTCTTTATGATACAGCTTTCTACTTATTTGAGCCTTCTTTCATGTTAACATAAGTTTTATTCTTTTCCACAAGGTCTTACGTATTTTTGAATGTTTATTCTGATGTATTTTTAAACTTGTATGGTATTCTCAATGGTGTCCTTTTAATTTTTTGAATTTTCCAGCTGTGTGCTAGAATGCAGTAGTGCAGTTGATTTCATATACTGATTTTGAGACTAACAATCTAATTAAACTGAATATTCTAATGATTTAGCAATAGATTATTTGGGCATTTCTTCATAGATAACATTATATATGATGAGAATATTATTTCTTTCTAATTGTTATCTTAATACCTTCTATTTCCTTTTCTTACTGAACTGGCTAGGATTTTTTTCTTCATCTTTTGAGGTGGGTCATTTTATTTTACTTTTAATACTCCTTTTTAGGTAAATTACATTGATTTTCTAAAGTGAAAACCTTTTATTTCTGGGGTAAATTCAACCTCATTAAAATGACCTTTTCTCATATGTTAGTAGAATTGGTAGGCTAGCATTTTGCTTAAAATTTTTTTATCCATAGTAATGAATATACCAATATACTTTAATTTATTATATATATAGAGAGAGAGAGTATATTTTAATAGAAAATGCCCTCCAGATTTTTACAAGTAGCATTTGGTTTCTTCTGATATGAAAATGTCATAATTTTTTTTATGTGTATATACAGATTAATCCAAAGCTTGAGGTAATCGATTTGCAGATCTCTACTCCCCCTGTTGTGGATATCCTTTCTTTTGATTCTACCACAGTAAGTTGGGTTGTTTTTTGTTTTGTTTTGTTTTGTTTTTGTTTTTGACATTTAAGTGGCATATAATCATTTGACATAATCCTTTTTCCTTTAAAAATGTTGGGGGAGGAGATAAAATATGGGCTAGGTAGCCTAACATTTTAGTATAGGAAGAACTTTGTAGAGTCATATTTACCATGCATCTAAATAGCCACAAGGGGAATCAGCACCAATTTCCAGAAAAGCTTTTACTTTGAGGTCCTTGAGCTCAGTCTAATTCATACCCACTGTCTCATGTATTAAGATGCCATCCAGGTGACATTTCACATGCTATTGCATAGCAGATTCCTTGTTATGTTATTTGTCCTTCGGAGGTGCAAAACTTACTTCTAGTCTTCTCATTAGAAGCTGTAAGAAAAACAGCACTGCCTTTGTTACAATCTCTTGATGGAGTATCCAGAAACTAAGAAATATTTCTAATATTTTTATAAAATATAAAAATTACATATATAAAAATTTATAAAACTGTAGTTTATAAAAATTAAGAAATATTTCTAATATTTTTATAAAATATAAAAATTACATATATAAAAATTTATAAAAATGTAGTTTATAAAAATTACATATATAAAATTTATTTATTCATTGTTTTCAAAGTCTTCAAAGATTAAGAGTTTTAGCCTCTCCATTTAGGATTCTGTTTACTCTTTCCAAGGCAGATCACTGCCACAGTTGATCCTGCTATTCAGTGCAAAACTAATTGTAAGAACAATTGGGAAGAACAGCATGGTCTTCTACAACACTGCTGCTGTGATGTCAGTTTAGTTAAATATTTTGCGTACATTTTTAATTTATAGCCAAAATAAAACCCTGACATTATGACATTACAAATTCTCTAACAGATGTCAAGAAGAGTATTTATTGTAGAGGAATTCTACAGAGGATTAGTCCATTTTGAGTCTACCTTGTATCAGAAAGCATTCTAATTATTCAAGGGTCCTTTCAGTGTTAATCCCATAGCAGAGAAGACTCCTAGATCTCTCACAAGTTTCAGTGACAAAAACCAAGTGAGGGTAACCAGTGGGCTGATTGTTAAAGGGAATTCCAAGAATCACTGGTGACCACTAGGACTTCAAACTGATCTGTGGTCTTGTTTCTTACAGTATTCATGTTTGTAACTCTACTAGCTTTGCTGCATTAATTTAAGAAATTAAAAATTAATTGAATATCTACAACTTGCTACAACTTGGCTTATAGGAGGTGTTCAATACATTTATGTTCAATTAATTACAAAATGCATGTTGTAGAAGTTTACAAAATCTGATGAGTTAGGTTTTCCCCCTGTAGTGAGAAGGAACAAAAAGGTAGGTTTATGAGATATGCTGCCTCCTTGTGAGGTAGTCAGTAGACTAAAATTGCACATTCCTGACCTAGAAAATATAATGGATCTCTTTGGTCCACCTTTGAGACTCACTGTCCCTGCCAGTACTCTTCAAGTTTTGCAAAGCCTCATTACGTGAGGAATCTAGACAGCTATTGAGGTGGGCATAACTGCCTCCTAGCCAGGAACATCAGGGTGTCTCTTCTAGTATAGATTGTACATATTTATTGTAGATTGTATGTATCTATTGTAATATACATCTATACTGCAGGATCATAACTCAAGGAATATAAGGGATATGTGGGACTTTGAAAAGACAATTCTGTTTAAGAAACATATGATATTTAATAGCTGTGCTACAAAACAGAGTAATAAAATTGAAGAGTAACATTATTATCCTCAATGGAAAATATTAGGTTTTAATTATATGAAATGGTCATTTTGTAGGAAAAAGTCTAATATCAATGACTTCACATGGTTTCACCCAATATATAAGCATTAAAAGGAAGACTCCACTGTTACTTTGAGTTGTATACTTGATAGTATGTAAAAATCCACCAAACAAAAAAACAGCCTCAACAAAACAAAATCTTGTTTGCTATAAACTGGTTTGAGATTATGCTAATGTCCCATCTAGATAGATTATAATCTGGAAGATAGTTGCTTGTTGCCAAGCAAGGTATAAGGACTTTATAGAGGTTCATAAAGCAGTTATACTTTTTAAAATAATATCTCCAAAGGGTTTTTCTTTAAATTTTCAATGTGTATTTCTTTTAGTTTAATGATAGATAATTGGTTAGGAAACTAAAATAAAATTGCTTTTTCAACTATTTGCCATTCCATTAATAAAGCACTAAATAAGCCTTAATTATAGTCTCCTCCCTATTTTGGCAATTTCTCTTTTGCCTCTGCACAACAAATCAGACATAATTGTAAAGGGGATTTATTTCTGCTTTGGCATGAAACACAATTGCATTAAATATTTTTGGTGTGAATTTTGCATGCGATTGTAATTTAAAAACCTGGAGAAATACTCGAAGCCCAAAAAAAGCAGTGTTTAAAGGTAATTTTTGTTATTGCTATTGTAGTTACTGTTTCTTTTGAGGGTTGGTTTGTTTTGTTTTTGTAGACTGAACGTTTCCTTAAAAATACATTTCATCAAGATAGGACCTTGAAAAGATGTCTGTTTAAACCTTAATTTGTCAAATTTCTAGTAGCATAAAAGAAGTTTGTTATGGTGTAAGAAATAGTTGGCCTCTATTTCTACTTTCACTTGATTTAATATATTCAGGAAGATTTGTAGACTCAAGTGTACTGATGTCTGTGCTCTGATGTCTTCTTACTACAGAGAAGAGATTGTGGCATACAGTCTTTTTGCATCTTTGTGGCTTGCGCTTGTGTCTCTAATGCCAAGCTGGAAATTTGATACAATATTTGTGGATTAAAATAAGTTGTTACTAGTCTATATTTTTAAACCTTTATTGTTAAAAAAACAAAAGTTTCTGTAAAGGAGTATACTGGTGGCCATATAAGCATAGTTTTCAAATGTGGTTCTCAAATTCCTGACTCTCTATTCTGATTATATTGTCACTTATTATATACCAATTTCCTAAAGACTATTTAGTTCAAGATTCTGTTTGAGTCTTTTAATGTTTTCATTTTATAGTTAAAACTAGACAAGGAATCTATCATCAAAATTATGTGAGGGCATTTGTCATTAGCATTGACATGTGGTATGGCTACACAGGATACCCCACTCCTCTCTTCTAAAAAGACAAGCAAGATAAGAATTTGTTCCCTACATTTATCCTAATACAAAGAGTTTTAAACTGAGCTCAGTGACTCACACCTGTAATCCTAGCACTTTGGAAGGCCGAGGCGGGTGGATCACAGGAGGTTAGGGATTCTAGACTAGCCTGGCCAACGTGGTGAAACCCTGTCTCTACTAAAAATACACAAATTAGCTGGGCATGGTGGTGCACTCCTGTAATTCCAGCTACTTGGGAGGCTGAGGCAGTAAATTGCCTGAACCCCGAAGGTCGAGGTTGCAGTAAGCTGAGATCATGCCACTGCACTCCAGCCTGGGCTACAGGTGAGACTCCGTCTCAAAAAAAAAAAAAAAAAAAAAAAGTTTTAAACTAACTGTAAATAAAATTTATCTTAAAAGACTCTAGGATTGTTTTTTTTTATCTTTAGGAAAATTGTATTCTTAAATTCTGATGTATTAATTTTATTGTTTGTCTTATAAATGAACAAAATGAAGTTGCTAATCCTTTGATTATCAAAATACTGGACTCTTTTCAGAGAGTTGACACGGTGCTCTCATCTTCGTCCTGGCAACTGTGCAGAATATGAACATAATGCAGAATATGAGTATGCCTTTCTTTAGAATTAGAGACATTATTTATTTCAAGTCAAATTAATTTACAGTAAACATGCAGTTATGTTATAGAAAAAAAATCCAAGAGTCTACAGTCTTTTGATGTTCCATCAGTCAAAATAGTTAAAGATGTCCTGCATGAAGGCATTACATGAGATGCTGAGGGAGATATCAAGTTGCTGCATGATCTCAAGAAACAAACAACCTAGCCGGATATAAGTAACAGAGTAAGAAATCAGTGTTGGTTTCAGAACATTAGATGTCAAGTGTACATTAATGTCAATGAAAGGTTGTTAATGGGCAGTATTCAGAAGAGATCACTAATGGGCTGGAGTAAACTAGAGGACTTCTCTAGAAGAACACCTTTGACCAGTTCTTTTTTTTTTTTTTTTTTTAAGACAAGTTATCTCACCCTGTCACCCAGGATGAAGTGCAGTGGTTTGGCACTATCTTGCCTCACTGCAACCTCCACCTCCTGAATTCATGTGATTCTCCTGCCCCAGCTTCCTGAGTAGCTGGGATTGCAGGCACCTGCCACCACATTCGGCTAATTTTTGTATTTTTTAGTAGAGACAGGGTTTCACCACATTGGCCAGGCTGGTCTTGAACTTCTGACCTCAAGTGATCTGCCCACCTTGGTCTCCCAAAGTGCTGGGATTATAGGCATGAGCCCCTGTGCCTGGAGAGAAAGCAGGGTATAAGTAGTTGCTTCAGAACAAATCAAACACATATGAACCATGGCAATAAAAATGCATCAGTCTAGTTTAGAGTCTTTAAGTTGCCTAAATCAATGGACAGCAGATGTGGTAGAATCCAGGAAGGATGTCTACTCACACACATATATTTCTGAATAAGTATTTATTAACTCACTATTCTTGGCTTTAGAGAATGTGAACAAAACAAAAATACCTGCTCCAGAGAAGGCTGCATTCTACATTCCAGTCAGAGAAATGCAGTTCACAAATTTAAAAAATAAACTGTATATAGTATAGGGAAAGCAAAGGAGAAAAAGGCACTGAAGGCAGAGAGGAAAAGATAGGAAGAAGGCTGCAATTTTAGCTAATATGGCCAGGACAAGAGTCACAGGGGCCTTTGAGTAAAGAGCTGAAGGAGTGAAGGGAGCCAGTCATATGGCTATCTGGGAAAGGCTCTGCAGGAGAGTGGGAGAAGTGATAGATAGAAGGCCAGATTGCAGGTGACACAGGAGCCACTGGTGGGTTTCCTGCAGAGGAGGGATATGATCTGACTTATGTCTTAACA